CACAGAGACGTTACTACTACTAGACTTCTTGAATATAGATATACCCACATAATATATATATATATATAATTTGGGTCGTGGGTTGTGGCTTGTCATTAAGGGGTGATGGTGGGTCCCGCAGCCAGACCAGTTGAGAACCACTGCTTTAACACTCGTCACTGAAACAGTTTTGGCTTGTTTGTGTCGAAGCTGCAGTCCTGTTTATTCACTTGCAAACATGAGCGATGCCGACAACATGCTCTCCCAGAACAAAAACATCAAATCTGATTCTAAGAGGACGGTACTTTGTGAGTTGTCTCTTAAAATTGTAAAAGACAAAAATGAAATCCCTATTTCTTATGTGCAGATGTCCAATTTTGTTCGCCCATGTGAAAATGTTGGTGAATCAGGGTTGATCTTAAATCAGGGCTGTTATTAAAACTAAAATATCTCTTGGCTTTCTGGACAGTTTTTTTGTAATGTACTTGAAAAACAAAACGTGTCAAGAAATGTGCGTATCAGCTTAGAAATTGCCTCGACTGCACATACATTTAGGTCTTACCCAATATAATTCAAACAACAAAATATCCCATAAAAGTTAAACATTTCACAGACGAGGCCACATGTTTTACGAATGTCTTGTGACAGAAAAGGCACCGTCCTCAGCACTTCCATTAGTTTCTGTGTAAAAAGCTCAATGATTCACCGTGCGTCATCTCAACAGAACTGAGAACACATCTCTTACCGTGGATCATTTCAGTAAGCTGCTCCAGCCTCTCTTTGTTCTGCTTCTCTACATCCGGCTCACTTCCGTTTGTTTTTTCCGACGACTCTTCCATCCCCGCCCTCACCCAGGATCCAGGCTGACAGTACAGCCTGTGGTCTCTTAGTGCCCAGCTGTACTGCATGCTGAGCACTGTAATCGGGCCCTGGAATGGAGGAGCAACCACAGCGGGATGAGAAGTTTCCACCTCCATGAGAGTGGGCCAGTGGTCAGTATTTGCTGGCGTGGGGACATTTCCGTTGGACAGAGTTACTGGTACAGACGTCGAGTCTGTTCTGTCGGGAGTCTTGTCCACCTGCATATCAGAGTCCAGGTCCTGGGAGATAGAAAGTAGCCCATTGGCCATTTCCCTCACCATCATGTTACCGTCCTTCATATCCTCTTCAGGTTCAGTGTCACTCAGGTTTACCGTGTCTCCATTTCCACGTGAAGATTTAGCTGAGCTGGGGTCAGTCTGCCCTCCATGGTCCATATCTGCATCTTTGTTTTGCCACTGCACGAACACTAATGGAGCCAGGGCATCCACTGTAGAACTGATGACAACTCCACCTAAAGCTCCCCTCTTTATTCCACCTTCTACATCCATGTGTGATGCTGACATAGCTCCCACCATTCCCCTCCCTCCCCTCCCTCTAAATGTGCTAACTGGTGCTCCCCTGCCTGGCATTCCAGACAATATCATCTCCACACCTCCTTTACCCCCTGACCCTTCTATCAACATGTCCTCCATTTTCTGCACATCCCTTTTCTCTGGAGCAACATAGTTCCTTATTGGGTCATCCTGCAGGGAGACTGCGACAGGCTGAGCAACATCCGTTTGTGACGGTGTATCAGCCACAACTGGAGTATTTTGCACCTTCTCATAGCAGGCTTCTTCGTCCTCGGCTTCCTCCACATTCTCCGTGGTCAAATCGAAACACTTGATACGTGTCAGCTGGCCCTCCACTTTCCTTTTTGGGGTGTCTCTGAGGTCCCTTCCGGCCCCCCTCCCTCTCCCCCTCCCCCTCCCCCTGCCCAAAGTTCTGACATTGTGTCCTGTACTGTTGGGGCCACAGCAGTCACAGGCTTTAGGAGTCCTCTTCCTGCCTGACGTACGGCCATTGACTTGGCCCCGAGTAGTGGTAGGTGTCTCTGTGGAGGACCAGGCTGACGCTCGGCTTGAGTTAGTAGCAAGTGCTTTTGCTGAGGTGGGGGGCTCGGCTTCGACAGGAGTTAGAGTAGAGGGCTGGGTCAAGACCGAGTTGGAGGTAAGGTCTGTAGCGAGGAGTTTGGCAGGGTTCAGGTCCTGATCTGCAGTCTTCCCATGGGGAGGCACAAGAGGAGGAGCTGCTAGAGGAGGAGCTGCTGTAGCAGGAAGAGTTAAATGAGGTGATGCTGATGGTGTTGTGTTCACTGGGGATGCAGAGCCGCTGTGAACCATGACGTCCTCCTTTGGCTCTTCAACCCCATCCCCAACACCCCCCCTCTCCACACGCTTTACTTCTCCTTCCTTCTGATCCTCTGAATATTACGTGTTGTGCTTTGTTCCTTCCTTGTGTTTTATCCTGACACTTCCCTCCGGGAATCCTTCTGCAAAGTACTTTTGCTGTGTCGAAAAGCCTGTCCCACCACAGAGGTCACTGACTCGACCAGACAGAGTAGAACATGTCAGATATACGGTGTTCCTCAGTGACGGGTAGACTCTGAATGTAACAGTAACTCCACCATGGTCCCCTAATCACAGCACAGGGAGAGAGAATAAGAGCCAATGAAAGAAATGTTAGCAAGCACATCTCATTTAGCTGTATAATTAAATATTTGCAGTGTCAACGTGCAAGGCAGGACTCACTTAAGATGAATCTATTCCTCTTTCAGTGGGAGATATTTAATGCACGAGCCAATTACAAAGTAACAACAGTGACATCATCTTCAATTAACAGGTGGATCACTGCTAATTGGTTTTAGCTTGCAACTAACTCCCTTTTTTCCACAATGTAATGTTCAACGTTAAACAAGTTACTTAACTGACCGTTGTGCCATAGCATCAGTTTTCATAGAGCAGTTATTTAGTTTAGAAGCAACAGCCGTAGTTAGCTGATGTTAGCAACATTGCAGCGAGTATTCTTGAGCTGCAAATATTCAGTGTACGCAGATAAATGAGCTATTAGCATCTTTGCTAATCACTAGCATCTTTGCCAACGTACGTTTAAATTCCCTCAATCATTTAAGTTAAGTTTAATAAAACTAACGTTACCTCATGTAGTGCGACATTGCCCACCGCAGCAGCTAGATCATGCCGACATATATTTAAGAATATAACGTACGATCCCATAATTTGATTTAGAATCGCAGAATTGTACAAAGTTTTGAATCAGTTAGTAATTCCCTTGAAGCTAGCTAGCTAAGTCAGCTAACTGCAGCCAAAACACAGGCGTAAACACAAAGCATCGACTACACATTTCCTCCATTTTCAGCAGGAAGTTGGAGGCGTCTAAAGACAAAAGCGGTGCTGCGAATCCGTTTTTGAGGTAATATGGAGTATAAGCAAAAAAAGCATGAGGGAAAGTGGAAACAAACATAATCATACACTACCTTGTCTATGAAATAACGAACTGAGTTTCATCTGACCACGATTTGAAGAAGCAACAATTCAAGCTGTCGTCGCTCGTTGATTGCGTCACGGCGTCGGCTGCGTCCGGATAATCTCCCCATGTAACCTTCAAATTCCTCTTCTTATCTATACCCATAAAATATTACACCAACGTTTCTTGAATTTTAACCTCATAAGAGACAGAAAGAGGATCTACAGCAATACACTCCTGTTGACATTGTTCTATTTCAATTTGCTTTTTTAGGCATTTCATGTAAATTAATCTGTGTTGCCATATCAAATACAGGAAAGCAGTGGTTAGTAGAAGGATGATTTTGAATACTGTATAATTATATACAATGCAAAATATAATACAAACTGGTATTATTATGGTATAATCCCTGGTATCATAATTTCTAACCCACAGATCAATGACAACACACAATGTATCTTGGTAATATTTAATTACAAAAAACTAAGAAAACAATAAATAAAACTAATAGTCAAAAAGTAAAGGAATTAAGTACAAAATTATTAACAGTTAAATGTCCAAAAATGGTTACATAGTGAGAATATTAACATGATAATTACTGGTTGCTTGACAGCAGTAGTTTCCAACCATTTTAAAGTAATGCCATGAGTTTAGCAAAACAAAGAAATATCTACCACAGGAATATCTATATTGACTATGTAAAAATGTCATATTGTAGTGAAGTGGGTATTCCGTGATGCAAAGTAATGTTGCAAAAGGCCCAAAATGTATCAAACAAGCAAATGCAAAGAGATTTAAATGAAACATTTGCTTTTTTAAACATATGAACAAAATATATTTGAGCTTACTTCAAGGCTTCACCAACTCAGCCCACTTGCTTCAAAAAATAATGCAGCAGAATATGCATTAAAATGAACACAGTCTGTTGCTATACATTTCTATTTGTACATATGGTCAGTGCTATATCATTCTCTACTTGCATGATCAAAAACAAAAGGCATTATAAGTTTCTTCACAAGTGTCATTTGGCTCCAGTGATGTCAGATGATTAGAAATGACCTGATTGGTCCCATTTAATCACCAAACATACAGATGCAGTCATACAAGGGGTCTTTCTTTGCACATACATGTCCTGCATTGCTGTGGCAATAATGCCAATCCGAATCATTTTAATAATGCTGCAGCTTTAATAAAAAAATACACGTTTTAGACTAACTGTAAGTACTTAGTGCTTTATTAAACTGGCATCATGCACGGGTAAAGTTATTTTTTACAATTTGTACAACATTTTGTTGGAGAAGTTGATGTTTGTGAAGATGAGCTTGGTGCAGCAGACGGTGACAGCTGTGGGGTTTGGGCCTGGAAGAGATGATTGGTAAGTTTAAGTGGACAAAAGATGAAGGGTAGTATCCTTCCATAGAAACATATTCTCAAAACACGACATATTTTTTCATGTAGAGGGAAAGAGTGACCATTAGTTGTTAACACACCTACATACATGAAATCACCATTACCTATCAAAGTGAGGCATTGATAGCTGGAGTATGTATGGTCTTGGAGACTGAGGCGCCGTTGCTGCCCTCTGCTGTTAGCACCTGGAGCTGCAGCTGGTAAACACTGTCAGCCTGAAGACCATGAACTGTCACCAACCGCTGAGACTGAGGAGGATGAAGCAGAGTAAGTTCAGAGTACCACTAACAAAAGTATCACCAGACTTATCCGAACTAAACAGAAAGAAAAAGGAACTTGACATAAAAATACTTATTGACTCATCATCCCTACTAAAAAGGCGCACACACGCACACACACGCACACACACACACACGCACACACACACACACACACACCTCTCATATTTCAAAGGCATTTTCGTTCTGCTGCTGGCAAAACCTAAAACTGTCACTGTAGACCTCTCTTTGTGTCTCACCGGTGCGATTGTCTGTGTCTGGGAGATAAGTGTGTCTTCGTGTCCTTCCACTGCCGCGGTAACCCCTGATTGCAGTGTCCAAGTGAATTGGAACCCCTCCACAGCTGCCGGGTCCAGTGCATGATGGGATATCCTCCAGCGGAGCTTCATGAGCAGGGTGCCATTGACTTGTTGAAAGTCAGCCGTCAGTCGTTCTGGACGCAGTACCACCTTTCTGCTGGCCAGGAGGCGCTCTGACACAACCAGAAGACGCAACACATGTCCTTCATCTATGACAGAACACTCTTTTACATTTTGTCACCGTAGATTAAACACGACTACAGTTTGAACATTGTGATGGTTATTTGAAGTGCATTTAAAAAGCTTATTGTGCGGCTGTACAAGAAGGTTATATAGTATAATATCTAGTCTTACCCTCAGTGTTGCAGGTCAAAGCTTTGCCTCCTCTGACCCTGATGGAGGAGCAAGTCGGGGTCGTAACCCAGGCAACAGCCTCTGACCCTTGGTCAGCCTTCATCACCACGGCGACACGGTACTTACATGCAAACAGCAAGCCTGTGATGGTGTGATGGGTGCCCTGGAGAGAGAACATCAAAAAGTGTTTAAAAGAGTGTTTAAACGGCACACAGCTGGTTTCTAAAACTGACATATTATAAGGTTCCGTAAAATATACACACAACCTCTACTTTTGTTTCTAAACCTGTCTGACATAAGCTGCTTGTTAGCTCCATGGTAAAATAAACACGACAGTTTGAAGTGGCACTTTGCAGCTTGGCAGCTTCAAATGGTGAGGAAAGAATGGCATAACTGTTTGAAAAAAGCTGAACTTCAGTGAACAGAAATCATGCTCTGTGACCTCAGCAAATTGCACACAGCACTCTGATATTTATCAAGCCACTGCGTCTGTGATCATTTAAGATGAGAGGTTGACACCAGGACAACAGTGGGTCAAGATCGAATGTTGGCGAGGCCAGTTTTCTCCTGATAAATGGGCAGATATAAAGTGCACTGTATACATTCAATAAAGGTTTTCTTTTAACTTTATTGCAGCTTCACTTTGGGATTTGGGTTTAAAATAGCTGAATTGTTAAGAAGTTGGTGATTCAATTTGAATCTCAAGTAGATTTTGTTTTGCCTAATTTTGGTGACACATTTAATTTAATTCTGCAAATTACTTTCCCCATAGAGCATTCTCATTCAAACCCCTCCCTATATTTCATTCTTTTACATTTAAATATAAGATAATTCAGCCAGGGTTTTGACAGAGTTATGGTAAAAGTGATGTTAGGCAGAGACAAAGTTGCACACAGACGGAGGATCAGAGCACTCCAGACTGATCGGAGTTATGGTGCTGAAATCTGATCTCTGATACACATACAGTATATACACAAAAAGACACAACAATGCTCACAAAGAGCCGCATAAAACTCAGCCAGGATAGTTATACCTGCACAGTTGTTGTTCTCTCTGTGCTTGTAACATTAGTACTGCACGTATGTGGACGCCACCGCAAAATGTACGGCCCAGGATGTCTCTGCCTGCCTGTGAAGCAAAAGAAAGATGGACAGACAGTGGACATGTGTTTATCTTGTGTTTATTATCATGAATAAGACAAATATAACAGGATGAATCCAATACACGTCCTACTATTCTCTACATTTCTCTTTTACATTTACTCCTTTTATCATTTTCTGGTGAAAATTCTCATATTTTGTCTTTATTCTTGATTGATGATTAACAATCATTTTTGTTTTTTTCATTGCCATGGTCACTGAAAAGCACAGATTGTGATCGGCTGGAAGGTGTGGATTCATTTTTAGTATTTGGGTGTTATTTGAGTGTAATAGTAGTAGCTGCTCAGTGAGAGCAGCTACTGTACTACTGCACAAGAGGAAACAGAGAACTTTAAAAAAATCGTTGAATGCAATTAATTTGTTTTGCATCCTTCTTTTGTCTTCTACTGTGTTTTCAACTCACCTTGGTGAGGCCACTTCCAGAACACCTTGACCTGCAGCTGGTCATTGTGATAATGAGGGGCAGCGACCTCCAGGCGCAGATTGCCAGGAGTGACAGGGTTAAGGGGGGATTCAGGGTGAGGCAGAGAGGACGAGAGGGGGAGGTCAGAGGAAGAAGGGGAGGAGGATGAGAGGGAGGGAAGAGATGATGAAGATGAGGAAGACGGGAGCTCGTTGGAGAAGTCTTCACCTTTGGTGGAGAGGAGAGAAAATAATGTTACAAATTCAAACTATGTCTGATTTGACGCTGTCTTTTGCAATGAGGGCAGTAAAAGGTAAAAACATTTTGAACATCAAGCTCATAAATATCCGACATATTTCTTGCACATTTTCACAATAAACACAATTTACGTGTTCAGAAACGTAACACTTTGAATACAGGCGTGGTTTCCTAACCACTCTAAAGTAAGTATTATTTATTGAGTAGCTGTTCTGAATGCTTATAACTAGCTACATTGAAAAAAACAAAACATATGAATGACTGGATGTATGAAACCTGTTATATAACACATGGAATTTATAAATGTATTATATTGTGCCAGGAATATCATAAACCGGTCGACGAGAGTGCAGCTGGTAGCTAGCTTTCCTGTAATTCACTCACTCAGAAACACCAACTGGTTTTATCCGGCCTAACTGACCCGCATGAGGAAAACATCGCAAATACGTGGACGGTGTCAAATATTAATGCTGCTAAATTATAAATGGCAATATGTTCCATATTAAATTGGTGGTATGTGGTTTGATAATTGAGCTGCAAATGGCTATAATCCTCTGCTGGGCTGACCGACAGGTCACCTATAAATACCTCTTTAAACAGTTTAAACAGTGCAGCTGTAGGGAGACCAAATATGCTGACAACCAGTAAATTCAGGGGCTCTGAACAAACTACTTACTAACTAAAATAATCTACTCAATAATGCACGGCTCTGTTAACAAATGTGTGCTGTGGATTCTGCATGCAGTATTTACTAATGTCATGACAAGTTAATGAAATGTTCAGAAATGTGTACTTGAATGAGCCTCTATGGTTGCTAGGAGAGTCCTTAAGTAACTGTGTTGTTGAATCTCAGCGACACAAACAGTACAGCTCCAGTTTACACTACTTGGGCAAGAAACCTCATTCTACTGAGCAAATCTGAGCTGTGCAGTTCCTTACTGTTTATTCCAACGAAAAAAATCTGTAAAAAAAAAAAACAAAAACCTACTAGAGATGTGGTGCCTTCCTAAAAGTTACACATTTCTAGCGATTTTACACGTGGCTGTATTTGTTCATCTATCTAAAGATAAGATGTTCATCCAAACTGCTGAGAGAGGCAATGGTGAAAATACTGTATTCATGGTATGTAAAATCAAGCTACATATATTCCATTAAGAATAATTCATCCTTGCACCGTTTATAAAACTCTTTACAATCACTGTAAAGCATATTAATAGTTAATAGTTAGACAGAAAAATAATCAATAAATCACATTCTACTGAAATTATGAAGAGAACATTTAATATAGACAGTGTTAGTGACAAATATACAACGTATACCATAATGAGGAAAGTAGTTTATTTGTTTACCTGTATGAGTTATGGTGGAGAAGACAATTTGGGCTCTTGGACTTTTCAACCTCTTCTGACCCCAGTAGGCCACCGTCTGGACAGACAGGAAGTAGGAAGTAGCAGGCAGCAAACCCTGCAGCCACAGCTCACACTGTGCCTATAACACATGTGAGAATGGGAACATGGACAGAGAAGTTTTCTTAGTCTTTGGGAATGGTGGTTCTTGGCTACATCTCAGTCCGTCCTAATTCCCTTCCACATTAGAATTTGACCGGGGTCTGAGAGAGACGGTGTCAAATGAAACACAAATAGCTCTGATGAACCTGTGTCCTTGATTCAAAACACAAACTCAGGATCACCATTTTAGCCAGCAGTTACTGCCACCATCTTCATCATCCTTACTGTCATCACAATCCTCATCACCATCATCCTGAGTGTTGTGTGTCAGTGCAGACCTGTTCTGCATTACCCTACTGTTTGACTGACAGCTCATTAACAGGCTTTTAGTCAATCAGGTCTGTCTCTCAGCGTGGATTTCAGCTAGTCACAACAAAAAGATGCTTGGATGATAACAAGTGTGTGTGTGTGTGTGTGTGTGCGCGCATGCACACTTAAGACAGAATGAGACAAAAGCAAGTTAAAAGCAGTTTCTTGGTGACCTGCAGACAAAATGGGTTGAAGTATTTCCATTACACTTAAGATAGACAAAACATATGGCCTGTACAGCTGTGTGTGTGTGTGTGTGTGTAAAACAGAAAGAGTGAGAGAAGCCTGGATTTCTATTTTGGTGCATAATGTCAGTGAACATTATATGTAAGAGGCTGATGTATATTTAAAAGCACTGATTCAGCAGAGGTTTTTCTATGTTTGAATACTTCCTCCAATTTCCCGTTTTACTTCAGGTTTAATGCTAAATCCCTCCAGTAATGCATAAATTCCTGACTGACAGGATGTATGTTTTATACACATCTAGGTAAAGTATCATCATGTGCTAATGGAGAGGAATACAACATTAGGTCTTCCTGTGACATGAAAACTAATTCACACAGAAATGTTATTCTGGTCCCTACCTACCTGTTGTGATGCTGCTGTCCATATGTGTGTGTGTCTAGATGCAGCTGCAAGTAGGACACACTAGTAAGGGGGGCCTCATTTAAATTCCAGGCGCCCCAGCCAAGCAGAACAGAGAAGCAGACTAGAGATAAATGGCTCCACCAGGCTCAGTCTGGGATCGCCATCACTACTTAGGATAGCTAGGTCCATATGAGCGTGCGTGCATTCAAACCTCCAAACTTTGATGTATGTTTTTGATTATTTTGTCTCTACTCTTGCAGTGAATACTCATATTGGAGTTAAACAGTTAAGAGGGTCTAAAGCTGATGGTTTCTGTGCAAAGAGTACACAAATTTAAGGAAAAAATGTTCGGTCCCTACACAGGCAATCTTAACTGTTGCGTCAAAGCTGTAATATCGGTGCTGTTTACTGTGATTATGGGTACTTTGGCACTGCTGACTAGACTCGGTTGCATTGTAAACATATTACATCACCATCACGCCTATAATCATGATAGTAAAACCCACCCTCTTGACTGTTATAAAAGCATTACATATAATTTCAAAAATACAGCAAGAAACCTATTGTATCTCTGAAGAAGTTACTCTTTGAATTGAGCAACGAGACCGGAATGGTTCAGTCTCTTTATCTAATGTGTGTTATCACATACACATGCTGTGCTAGCAGCTACAGTAATACATAATCATCTAGACATCAGTCATATAACCCAACCTCTGCACAGATCTCATGCTTTACTTCTATGATGACTGAACACTCACTCACTAAGGCCCCCGTGCTGTAATGACTAGCATGTTGTCAGTACATTCCCAGATGCTTTGACTTGAGTACATGTTATCCAAATGCAGGAAATGCCAGTCACTCCACATGTCTAAGTTATCATGTTATTTCAACGCTGTGAACCCCTACCTACATGTTGTCATAGTACTTTAACAAAGTTATGACCCATAAAGATAATGGCATGTCTGTCTGAAGACAATATTGCATTTTCAGATCCACAAGGAACATGTGCACAAATTGTTGTAAATTTCAGGGTGAATGTGTCAAAACTAGATCTAAATGTAAAATAATAAATAAAAAAAAAGGTAAAATATCATGAAACATAACGCATCTAAAAACTTGAATTATCGTTAAAAAGTCAAATCAACTTTGATGGGATGCAAGTTTTAAGAATGCAAAACAATATGCACCTAATTTTTGCTTATTATATGAATCAAAATGCTTAGTTGAGATGTCTGAGCACCTCCACCTAATTCTCATTTGTAGGCTTTTTTACTGGCTACAGGTGGTTCAGCGGGACATTTCTTTATTTGAGGTAAGCCGTTCCTATGGTGTGTGTTGTTTTCCTATTTAATTGTGTGATGCTGAATCTCAAAACGTACACAACATACAAGTTGCTATTGTTATATGAAATCAGTTATTCCAATTTGCAACACCACTGGCATACAGTAGCTGTTTACAGAGCCTGTTCTGTTTGAGCACTGCAGAGACCTGTAACATCAGAACCAGGAGAAAACAAGGAATGTATGCATGTGTGTGTGTGTGTGTGTGTGTGTGTGTGTTTGGTGCATGGGTTTACAGACCTTGTAAAATCTCTCAGGTGCAGCTATATAGATCTTGTGCATGCGGTGTGTGTGTGCGCTTTTAATGTATTCTTTAAAAGGACACATTTGAATTTAAACCTACAAACTGAAGTGTGTCTTTGAAGAGTGGAGACCGTTACTCACTTCAAAGGGCTGTTTTAGGGTTAAAAGTGGTTTTAGGGTGAAAGAAATAGTTCGATATGTTGCTTAATATTATTCACTTATTCGCTTTCTTGCCAAGAATTAACTGAGAAGAGCTCTTTTCTTGGCCTGCAGTCTTATTTGCACCGTGAGGTTGCCAGAAGACCAGTGGAGACAACACAGAGTCAATGGTCCTGGCCAAGAAATAGTCCAGCACATAACCCTCCATGAAACCACAACATGGCATTTTTACACTTTTGTTTTTGGACAGATTTACAGATGAGACATAACTTGTTGAATAGTGAGCTTTAGAGGTGCTGGTAAGCTGATTTTCTTACCTTTTGACGTGGCCAAGCACGTTTCCACCTGCTTCCAATCTTTAAGATAAGCTAACGGTCTCCTGGCTGTGGCTTCATATTTATCATACAGACATGAGAATGGATTTAATCTTGTCATCTAACACTTGGCAAGAAAGTGAATATGCATATTTCCCAGAATGCTGAACTGTTTCTTTAAGGTTAAACTTTATTTCATGGGCTGGGTAAGCAGGTTTGTTGGTCCCTAGAAGTATAGAAGTAGAAATATGTGTGTATGTGTGTAAGCACTTTGACAATGTCCAAAGAAGTCGCACACAACATTTATGGGATATTATGCATATCATATAATCAATGTGGTCGTACATGTGTGTATCTGATAGGAATAGATTGCACAGAAAGGAGAATATAAAGAAATCGGGATAAAAAAAAAAACATACTTAAATCTCTATATAATCTCAGTCAGTGTGATTACATTTATAAAAATGTTTCCTTACCCCTTGAGTCACTCTGCTGTTGCTTTCCTTTTTACCCTGTTCTGGTGTGTGTGAGTGTGTGGGTCGTGTGAGCACCTTTTTGTGCACTGTGTGCGTGTGTGTATGCAGCGTGTGTGTGTGTTTGTGCGCTGTGTGTGCTTGTCGAGACATCCAGGTGATTCTGTAGTTGTGGACAGGCAGGTCTGCCTCTCTGGGGGGCTCCCAACTTAAAAACACCGCCACTGTGACCCCACTTCCCCCCGACCTGAGGAGAGACAGCAACAAGTCATCAAACACCACCACAACATGGATGTAAACAAATCTGTGGTAATAAAGTAGACAAAGTAAAGTATAAGTAAATGTTTCCTCATAAGTTACAGTGATTGCCTGTAAAATAGATGCAACAACTTAATGTTGGGTTTCCTATCTTTCTGTCGTTTTATGTATGTGCACACAATTTATCATTATGTCAAACAGAAGCTACAATTTAAGTCTTCACCTCTGTTATTAAATGTTTTACTGGAATATTCCTGCTAATCTAAGACATGGTCTGAACTTCATCTGTCCTTGTTTAGAATTACGGCACACAAATAGCAGACAAAATATATGATTGGAAGAAGGTCAGGGATGAACTGTAATTTGCATGCAGCTACGCCATCAGACATCTACTTGACCACATGTTATGACTGACTGCCTACAACGGTAGCCTGCAGCCCTGAAAGGATGCATAGCTACTAATCCAGCAGGGAAGATTAATCATTAATCTATCTAATCATATTTCACCTATTGAGATGAGATACCTTTCCGTGAGCTGGGTGCCTGGTTGAGAAGCCATCCGGTCTAGAGTTTGGTTGCTCACTCTGACGTTTATTGGAAGTTCTGGAGGTGAAGGGTCTGCAGTGAGAGAGAGAGAAACGCTGTCAAGAGAGAAATGGCAGAAATGATCATCAAAATAATAATAGTTGTTGGCACTTTTTTCAGCCCTGGGTAGTGCCTGCACGTTAGAGCTTCTCTCATGGGGATTTGGGAGGTAGACAGTCGGAGGGCATTGTTTAGAGAGACGACAGTAAATAAATCACAATTAAACTGTAAAAGAGGAGAAGACATTCCCTGTGAAAATTACACTCTGAACCTGTTTGTCCCAACTGTTGCTAACATCCAATACCAGGTCATCTACAGCCCCTATGGCGAGGAAGCATATATGGAGATTTAGTGAAGACTAATTGGGGTTAACATCATGATTCCTACAAAGCAGATGCCGTTCACCAGCTTGACTGAATTGTCTAATAACTCGATGCTTAATTTGTTGCAGTGCAGCAAAATAGAGAAGCCATTCCGGGGGAGGGGGGGAGGAGAATTTCCTCTTCCTCTTAGTCTCATTCAAGTCTGCAAAGCCAATTAGATTTACAGCATCAAAGGTGAGCGATACTGGAGAAGCCTGAAGCTGCCCTTTTCAGTAGCTACCACAACACAAACTAAAGACAACCTCCACTAGTCACTGTTTGCCTCCAAGATTAAATCCTGAGGTTGCTGCTCTTTCAACACTGGTTTTGTATCTCATGAGAAACTCAAACCCCAATCCTGTATTTGATTAAAACAACAAAATGTATCTGATTAGAACTACATCCCCCGTGGCAGGCCTCCCACAGGCTTCGGGCTGTGCTCGGCTGACCGAGATGCAGAGATCAAAGTTAAGGCAGCGTAGTAGGTCTGCAAGACCTGGCCTCTGTGTGCGTGTGTGTGTGTGTGTGTGTGTGTGTGTGTGTGTGTGTGTGTGTGTGTGTGTGTGTGTGGTTTGTCTTTGGAATAAGCAGGATGTATCTTAATGCCAGAAGTAGATCAGAACCAAAACACACAAGGCCTTCTTCATTGTGCGTTTCTTTTTTAATCAGTGGACTTCAGTCGATTGCTGTCTAATTGTCATTAGATGAAGACATCAAGATGAGTTTTCTGAACCAGACATCCCCTCGTAATTACTGCTGGCAGGTAATGTGCAACCCTAATATCTGAACAAATAGGAAAGGGGATTTGAACATTCTGATTCTCTCTCTGGTTAGCATCAGGTCACAGTGGAGGAACTCCAACCATCCTGGTATCTGCAAACTTCCTGATTTGTGATCCCTGACCTCCAGCCCCCGACTAATCAGACCAATGGCCTGGAAACACAAGACTCTGACTCCTTCGAATGTTGAAGTGTGTGTCTTTAACCTTTAACCCTGGCCCTCAAAACACACACACATACAAGGGCACCCACCAAAACACACACACACACTGTGTCTCAGAGGATTAATTCAATATTTTGGGGTATAAGTTTACTTGCTTTCTTCAGAATTAGATAAGCAGATCGATACAATGCTAATTTCTGTCTATTGTATGTGATGCTATAGCCAACAGCCAGTTATCTTAGCTTAGCATAAAGACTGGAAACAGGGGGAAACAGATAGCCTGGCTCTGTCAACATCCACCAACCACCACCTGTAAAGCTCAATCCATTCATAAGAGAGCACCCAGTCGGCTGTTTTGAGTTTGTGTGTACATGTCAGCATGGTAATGTTACTGCCATTTGTGATCTTCTAGTAGAGCACAAGAAAATTAATTCCTCTTCAAGACACTAAATATTGTTCATAATTTGTGTTGATAAATCCAATTATTTCACGTTTTTTTCAGGGATGTAGTGGTTTGTATGCACCGTCACTGGGTTGAAATAGATTTGTTTCCTGATTTCTTCTCTGTTTTCTTACATTGTGGTTTGCTTAACATGACACTGCTTCTAGATAGACACATACGTTATACCCTTAACCCTCGTAAAAGTAAAAAAATACACACTGGCTTATATGCAGGCAAAGAAGTGTAATCATATATAATGGACAGACATGAGAATCTACTCATCGAACTCTCAGCAAGAAAGCAAATAAGAGTATTTCCCACATGTCCCATTAATTATTGCTTTAATATGTTGATGGGCAAGTTTCAGTACAACGTGGACAGTTTGTATATTCTCTTAACTTTATTACATGAGGAATTCTACTATTTGGTGTTTTGTTGAAGGCGGTGGAAAATGCTATCTCAGACACCTCTTCATAATCTCCCATAAGAGCTCAACTGATAAAGAACCTTTTTCCAAAGCTCGGTCCAACCTGAAGTCATTATTCAAATGCTGACAAGCTTTAGCCAATCATGGCAGGGGATTCATATCCCTAGCCAATCCTGGCACAACACCAATATGACCTAAGCCTGCTAAGCATTAGAGCTAAGACCTCCTACTGTGTGTGCCTGTGCCTGTGTGTGTGTGTGTGTGTGTCTTGTCTGACAGACCTGCAACAGGGATTTGGCACTAAACCAACTGCATGTGTATGCGTTGCCTTACTGTATATAATATACATGTGAATACGTGCATTTGAAATTGCGTATTTTTTGTTTTCTGTCTGTTTTATGGACTGCCTGATAATTTCAGCTGGGTGTACTTTAGCCATCAACTCTGAGTTAAAGAGAGAGAAAGGAGAAGACAGGAAATGTCCCTGAGGTTCTGACTTTTCTTCAGAGAAGTGTAATATCACTCATAAAATGACACAAATGGAACGCAAGAGCCTGTGTTTTGCTCAGTGTCTCGTGACAGAATATCAAAATTCAACAGATAAGTTGGGGAAACATGCAGGAGGAATCATCACTCTCTGTGGGACTCTCGTAAAGACAATGAAAGCATGTGTTAACACTGTGTTTGTACTACCTTTACTGGAGATGTAGTGTTTGCTGGGTGTGGTGAAGCCTCTGCTGCCGTGGCTGTTGATGGCTGTTACTCTGAACTGGTACCAGCGCTGAGGTCTCAAATCTGACAGAACCACATCTTCAGAAAGCGTCTATAAATACAAACACATCACATATAACAATGACAACGTGCATGTCAGAGAAAGACTTTAGTTCAAACGCATTTTCATTACCTTTCTTCATCTAACAGATACAATTATATGTGATTCATGACAGATTTAGAAATTTAAGAGTAACTTAACAACCCTTAAAAATGTTCATTTTGCTGACCTCCAGTGGTTTAACCTCTTACTTTATTACAGTGATGTACAGGTGTACTCCATGACACTGTGACATTACAACCATCAGTGATGCTGGGTGTGGTCACAGGTGAAACAGGCTTCACATGTTCAACCAGCAAGGGCAGCAAAACACATCTTTGAGGGTAAGATACAGAAAATATCGATCCTTAGGGGACAAAAACTTGCACAGCCTTAAGGCCTTTACACACGTGTGCGACTCTATTTAAATATTGTATTGAAAAAGTGTCGCAAATTTGCATGGCTGCTGGTATGAATAGTTTTGATGCGTAGTATAGTATTTCAGATTTTTGTGACGGTTATTTGTCGAGCCCCCGGTGTGTAAAGGCCTTAAACTTTAAATCTTGATAAACAGGTATTTTTTCCTCAAAGAGCATATGAACGTCAAACATTTAAAGGAATAGTTTTATATTTTGGGAAATACACAAACTGTTTTTCTTGCTGAGAGTTTGAGAAGATTGGTACTACTCTCATGTCTGTGCTCATCTGTCCAGGCAACAGCCAGCTGCTGATTTGCTTAGCTTAGCATAAAGACTGGAAACAGGGGGAAGCGGTTAACTGGCTCTGTCCAGCAGTAACACAATCTGCCCACCAGCACCTCTAAAGCTCACCAACTAACAAGTTATCTCTCATTTGTTTAAGCTGTGCAAACACAAGTCTACTGGACTATTTCTTGGAAGTGACTGCATCCAGCTAAGAAATAGTGCAGATATTACACAGATGAGATGTAGCGTGTTAATTAGAGCTTTAGAGGTGCTGGTAGGCAGGTTTTCTCATCTTTGGACGGAACCATGCTAGCTGTTTTCATTTGTTTCCAGTCTTTGTGCTACGCTAAGCTAACCCACTGCTGGTGTTAGCTTTACATTTAGCGTACAGACATGAGAGCGGTATAAATCTAACCATCTAACTCTCGGCAAGAAAGCAAATTTACATTTATTTCCCAAAATGTCAAACTACTTTATTTTTTACAACACTGAACTCGCTGTTCTTTATGGAAATCACTATATTTTCTAAATAATAAGTATAACAAAACAGTTTGCTTCAATCCAAGCCCATTTTGGGCACGTATGTTTCGCCATCTCTCACAAATCAAAAACATGACAGAGCTCTGTGTACTTTAAGACACGTGTACTTCAAGACGTTTTACAAGTTAATGAGGTGGAAAGTCGGATTGGAGTTCCATCTCATAATGGTGAAATTAAATGATTTACCAGAATTATTGTTAAAATTGCTAAAGATTCACATATTTTGTCTCCGTGACAGTGCAAATGTAATCGACTGCTTAAGATCTACTGATCCACACACCCACACACACACACACACACACACACACACGCACACACGCACACAGACAGACACGAGCTGCCATCTATTTAAGTCTATAATGAGTGTTCAGTCATTCAGAGTCAGCCGGTGGAACGACTGTGGCTGCCTGTGGTTCCTTTTTAAGCTCTGCTTATTTACCTAACCTCACACAGGCACACGCACACGCGGACGTACGGTGCGCACACACACACTCACTCACTCATACGCGCACACACAGACGTACGGTTTACCCTGGCAGAATAGGAGACTGGCTGGGTTGGAGAGGTTTAGACAGCAAGGCAGCAGACTGATGAGGTGGAAACAGAGTCTAACATCCATCTCCATAGTTGAGAAGTTTCATCATTCGAGGCAAATTGAGAGTTATGAGTTAAAGCTATTACAAACTGTGGCGCTGTTCTACCGTTAAAGGCACAGGGAACAATTTGTATAGCTTCAATGACTCTTAGAGTTAGTTAAGTGCCATGTTGTTGCATCAATGTACATGATGTAGCTTTCCTACATCAACTATTATTCCCCCAATAACGTCGAGACGGTGATATTAACAGAATTGTCTCTTTAAATAATGAAAGATGACTCAAAATACGAATTTCTTTATGATCGCAATATCTCAAACATTCTAATCCTCAATATAAAGACCCGGGTTGAAAGGTGATAGGGTGCTGGCTACTGTACAGTAGTTACCATTGCAACAGTAGTCCATGGAGAGGCATGGTCTTCACTGGGATGAATCCCGACGTTCCAGCGGGACTGGAGCATGTAAACGATCGGCTCCACGCTGACATTGAACTTTGACACCCACACTACCTTCACGCGTCCCTCTGAATCCTCCACGAAGCTCATCTCTCTGCGAGGCTTCAGAGGAACACCTGGAGGAAATCATGGGATTGTTATTTAAAAGGGCAAAACAGGAAAGAAATGTACATAACATCAAATAAACCAAACTGATTGTGAGATTGATGGATACAAGTGTACCGTATGTTGACATTTTTTTTTACAGATTTTGTGATTGGCGGGACATGTAAATAAAATGACTTGACTACCAACATAGTGACACTAGGGATAGGCGGTACATAGACAAGTTTCACTGGATGTCTCAAACACCATCATATCTAATTACTAGAGAACACACAGTATATAGTCAGTGCTTTTACAACTGTTGAGTCACTTCATAAAAAATATGGCACAATTGGTAAAGCAAAATATGTCATCACTCAAACAATATTTTTTTTGTGTTTGAATATTATTGCAGCCCAATCGTCGTCGCATAGGCGTCTGAGACAGTTTGTACTCCTGACTAGCTCCACGCAGACTTGAGCTGGAGCTTTTAACCGTCTGGGACTTCAGATGCAGTCAAGCAGGCAATATTTAAGGATCTTTATTACATTAAATTGCATTCTTTTCATTTAGCCGACACTTTTAACCAAAGCAACTCACAATAAGTACATTTAAACACCATAGGAACAAGAGCTAGATGTCATTAAATATTGGAAGGGCATCCCTCCCAAAGAAACAACAAAGCATGTTCAGTGCTATGAGTAACAAGCACAGGGGACCAATGACAGCACTCAGCTAACAGAGATCCTTTTTAACACCAGCAATGACACTTTTAATCATCACAGTGTCATGCTAATTAAAACAATCAAAAACAACTTCTCTCCATCAGTGCAGCAACCTCTTATAATAAAGCCCACACAATGTTACAAACAAGTCCCAACCTGCCTTCTTTACCTTTATATAGATTGGCTGGGGCTTGGCAAGTGTGTCCACATTCATTAGAGCAGCATTTCCTGGGGGAAGGACAATGCTGGTCTAACGAGCAGCTCTCCACGCAGGCTGCAGCGAATCCGGTGGCTCGCTGAGGAGGAGGGCAGTCCCCCTGACGAGACGACCTCAGAGAGGTCAGAAACTCCCTGCTCGTCACACACTCCGTCTGCTTCTGAGAGAAAGGACAGCGGGGGAATTGTTATTATTACAGTTGACACACAACGGAAATAATACGTAATGTATAAACACACACAGGAGGGCAGAAAAACACACAGCAGAGGTGAAAGTGTTTCCTTTGGTAAACTCCTACTGACTCTTTCAAGGCAGCCTGGTCTGACAGGGGGTTTGTGTGTGTGTGTGTGTGTGTGTGTGTGTGTGTGTGTGTGTGTGTGTATCTGTGCACATGGCTGCAGATCATCAAAATGTAAACACAAGCTTTAGCTAATAGCTCTGAATTACCCTGTGTTCCCAACCAGCCAGCCAGTCAGCCATCCAGCCAGTAACATGCTTCAGCTATTGTGATGAAAAACTAATCTGAAGACCAAGCCGGCTGGCTTTACAAATAATAATTTAGGGCCCCACACACACACACACACACACACACACACACACACACACATATTATACACTCACGCATATACATTCAAAAGCTCACAAACGTGTTATTCATAACCCACGAAAGCTTGCATAAACACACACAGGAATGCTCATTCATGGAATTCACAGTCAGAAAACAGCTTCATGGTGCCAACAAAAGCAAGTTTCTGGTGCAGGAGTGACACATCCACCAAAGGTTCTCTCTCTCTCTCCCTCTCTCACACTCACACTCACACACACTCTCTCTTTCTGTCTTACCTCACAGGACTTTGGAGAAAGCACCTTCCTTGTTTCCCACAGTTCTTTGCATGGCTGAAGGCACTACACAGAAACAAACAAATAGAAATAAACAAAATATGAGGCTTAAGGCACAATAAAGTAAGGGTTTCACAACCCACACTTGTTTCATCACACATGATAAATTGAGAAAATCAACACCATCTTAAAGCATTAATTCACCATTTTTGGAAAAGATACTTATTTGCTTTCTTGATGAAGAGTGAACTAGTTAAGAGGATCTCATGTCTGTCTGTTCAATATATAGTTACAGCTTGCAGCCAGTTAGCTTAGCACAAAAACTGGAAACACCTAGCCTGACACCGTCCAAAGGAAACCGAATCCACCTACCAGCACCTCTAAAGCTCACTAATGTTACATACGCAGACCCATATGGAGGTGCAGCTAAAGACAGATTTTGATATTAGGCTAGGTCAGCTCTGTCCCCTGTTTCCAGCCTATTTGCTAAGCTAACAAGCTACTAACTAAAGCCTCATATCTAAAGGGCACTTATGAGAGTGGTAATGATCCAACTCAACGCCAGAAAGTGAAAATAAGCATATTTCCAAAACTGTCTATTCCTTTAAGTAGCTGAGGTTTGAAGAAATACAACAAAGAAAAGCGGTAGAACAAGAATAAATTACAAAGTGTCAGAGGGTTTTAGCATTTGCAGAGCTCTCAAGTGTTTAAGCAGGTAGGGAAAACAGAGGAAACACACACTCCTAAAGCACACATGCACACACTCATCTGGTTTGCCACCTCAGTGAACTAGTGAATGATGGCTCTTACCAAATTAAATCCAGACAACATATAAAAACTGCGGTTTCACCCCAAACCTCCTCCCCCGTCCTCTCTCACCCCCTCTGTCTGTCTCCCTCAGCTCCCCAGTGTGCCTGGCTTCAATCATTTCTACAATTTATTCCATCTCACTGATTCCAGGGGGAACAAACAAAATCAACAAAAAGCCATAAAAACGGCACAAATATAGCTACTGTTGGACGAAAACATGTTCTCCAAATGTGCCCATTTGCAGAATGATGGCTTTGGATACTGTCGGGGTAATCATCCCACTTGAGCACTGCATTGCAACCACGTAATATCTCATTTTATGTATGAAATAAGGGACGAACACTACATAGTAACTTGTTGCTGGGATTCATTTAGCATCGACAAACCAAAGACAGTGAAGCCACATGTGCTGGTTTCTTAACTTGTAGAACATAAAATGCAGTCTCAGCGTGAAGCACGATAGCTGTTTAATGTTGTATAGTCGGCTCATTTCATTCAAGTCATGGAAGAAAAAGTTTGGGTTAGCGTGAAGTGATACTCCACCCCCAAAGTCTCCCTACTGAGTAATAAACACTCTGTAGGCTTGAAGTGTGGTCGTGAAAAGTGTGTAGATTGATTCTCCACAGGGCTGTAGTCAGCTTAGAATTACGAAGGCAACAATGGATTCCAAAAACGACAATATAAAAATCTAAATTCGGAGAGCAATGACTAAAACACCTCCGCTGTCCATATGTATGTCCACTATGTTCCATGACTGTATAGCTTAAACTTTGTGGTTCCCATTATCTCACCTTCTTATGTATATTGTCTGATACATATAAACAATAATGTATGAATATAGCTGGTTTGCTGGCTATTTCACCGCTTACTGCCTCGGTCCTCATGCTTGTTCTAATAAGACTTTGTGTGTACGCACATGTGCATTAATCTGCTGACTGTAAAAGCTAAGTATAAATTTGTATTCTGTAAAATGTTGATGTAATAAGTTAGTGCTTGTGTTTACTGTGCGACTTACTGGAGTCTGTACAGTCAGTGTAAGTTTTGATTGTTGGTTTATTGAATTTAAATCCAAAGTGGCAGAAAGGAGAAAAGGACTCGTGATTGACAAGCCCTCGGGGCAGCTCTGCTTCTTCCTTCTCTCATGTTGGACTGAGGGCAGACTGGACGCTTCGACTTGCTATCGCCTCTCGAGGTACAAGTGGTATTACAAGACAGGACGGACCGGAGCTAACTGGTTAGCATGCTCATTTTAGTAGATATCTCTGCAACACAATACAAAGAGTTTTTCAAACTAAAATTCTGGCCACACATTGCAACTTTAACTTTTCTTTTCTTTTTCCTCCTCTGTAATTGAACTATGCATTCTTCAAGAAGTCTGGGTATGAGGAGACAGAGAGATAATACAAGACGCGC